CTTGGCAGCAGCAAAACAAACTGCTCTGTGACAATAGCTGTAGTACTGCCAGAGGACACCACAACAATGTTCCGCAACTTTTTTCTCCAACTGAAGAGAAAGAATATTTGCATAATCCAACTGATAATCATATACATTTTTGTAAGGGCATAAAGAGCCAATTATCAGTAAATCATTCTCCTTAGAGAACCAGAAACAAATGGAGTGTCTAATTGTTGCTATAAAATTTAAAGTGTGCTGATTGGTTCATACCATCAACTCATGCACTAAGTAACGTGCAAGAAAACATTACACCTTAAAAGTCGCCAATAGCATTTCAGCAAAACAGTACAGCTGTGTCACTAGCCAACATGAACTAATTAAAACCATAAACCAGCCAAACACCTGTCCTTTTTTCCCAACAATTAAGAGGCAACTAAAAGTCACCAATTTAATGAAACAAGGCCCACAGACACCTTGGGTGAGCTAAAGGGTTGGCATCTACCAATGTAGCTAAATAGCACGGATGGCGACATAACAGGAGTGGAACAACTTTGCGCATGTCAAAAAATATATATTCTGATTAAATGCTTTCCCTCTCACCCAGCCCTTAACCACCATACCTAGATCATTTTATCCTAATTCTTGTATGTACATGTATCTAATAATTTTTTTTACCTTGGCATGTAAATGCACCCAGCCTGTTTAGTCCAATCACAGCACTTCTGCCCATACCCTATATTCATTGCAACAGGAAATCATACATGGTTGAACAGTACATTTTGATTCCCAAACTGGAACACATATTCTCAAATAAAACTTCATTTTTTGATGAATGAATGAGTGGGTAACACATTTCTGATTTGAAAAATGAGACAGAATCTTATAAGAATTCAAGGCTGATAGCATTAACTTGAATGTCTAATATGGAGGATTGTAACAAGAAATAGATGAAGTTCTTGAGTTGTTTGTCCTGGTGTGACATACTTTCCCCTTTCAGGAAATATCAAGGCTTTATTGATGCTGGCCTCTCTGCTAAGCACCCAGATGTCTTTCTCCTCATCACACTTGCAGTGTCCCATTTTTAGATGAAAGCAATCCCATAGAGGCGTATTGTTTATTTGGCATGTCAATGCACAAAGACAAAGAGAATATTACAAATTATGTACATTTTCAAGAAATGTCAAACTTTGTTTCTCTGTATATTTGTGGGTTTGTGTGTGTGTGAGGCCTTCTTTTTCTAGATTTTATCTTTGTGGGGACCGGCCACTGGTTGTTGAAATTTAATCATCAAATTTTATGAAAATAACGAGGGGTAAGGTTTGAGCCACATTCAGCTTTGGTTACAGTAAGTCTTTGAGAAATAGATGTAAATAGGCACCCAGTAAGTGACAACAAAGAGGATGTGTGTGTAAGTGTGACTGTGAGCATGTGCCTAGTATTACTCACACTGTGGGGACCGAACCATGTTTACACACTCACATTGGGAGGACTCTGCCCTCCTCCTGATAATCCCCACCATGTATGTTATTGAATTTCATGGTGAAACTTGTTTTAGAGTTAGGGTAAGTCTCCAGGAAATCAATGCAGGTTAATGTGAAGTCCCCAACAAGAATGAAAACAAATGTGGTTGTGTTTGTGTTGGGGTGTCTGTGTGGTATCTTTCGGTAGGTTTTTTTTCCTTTGTCATACTAGACTATGTTCACTGAATGACAAAATGCAGGCATACTGTAGCATGCAGACTGTAAGAACAAACTGTGAACAGATGTTTTCAGACAGGAAGTAACAACACCCCTCCTTTGCCCTTCACTGGCGTCAGCACTTTGCAGTTTCAATTCCATCACTTCCCCTTTCACCAAGCAACATCCAAACCATGCTCAGAAAGATTATTTACATGCACACATATGCACATACACACTGTGCATCTGTGTGCAGTGTATATACACTACACACAGATGCACAGTTCTGTTTATTGATGCAGGAACCAAATGGGGAAATTCATGCAATGTACACATATGAAGTTGAACCAACACAGACATCATGTGGTTTCATATTAGCGTGACTGTTGTGTGCAGACAGAATTACAATAATTGCTTTAGACAGTGGTTATCCATGAGTTAAATTGCTTTGACACAGAAATGTCCTCTAGAAAATAAATGCAGAAGCACAGGCTTCCTTTATCCTCCATTCTCTTGCTAACAACATCATATCACTGTATAGAGAACCAGGGTGCTGATTAACTAGTCATATAATTAAAACTGTAAATGGGAATATTATTTCAAAACAATCAAAGAAACAAAGCTAATCTTTTGTGCCCAGCCGGCAGGACCTTCTTGGCACTGTGTGTGTATTGATTTTGTTGGTTCTCTCATCTGGTATGCTGACAAGAGGCAAATACATACAGTGAAGCTAAATGACTGCTATTTAAATTGGTTTCGGTGATTCAGCAGTCTGCTGTTTACCTGAAGGGAAAGGATACTGCAGCTCCAGTTCACCAGATCACTGGGCTGTAGCTGCATACATACATTTGCACTACAGAGTTGGTCTGTTCTAATCAAATTGTTTGTGTTGTGTTGTTGTTGTTGTTTTTATGGTAGGATAGAGACAAGCGCTGACCTAGCAAGGAGCTACTTGGCTGTATTACAAGTGAAGACCTTGCAATATTTATGAAACTTTTGACTGCTGACTATTTTTTTATTTAACGTTTGCCAGAAAAAAAATTTACATTGAGATTTACAAACTTTTTTGCAAGGGAGCCCTGACAAGATGATAACATAAAGTGGGTGGTGTCTGTGCTAGCTAGCTACACCTGTGACCCATGTGTGGATGGAGTGTGCCCATGTTGCAACTTACCTGGAACTCAGTTCATATTGCTTAGTTCCTCCATACCCCTCTCCCCTTTCCTCTTGTCTATATATAGTTTATGAAGTTTGAGGTATGCACAACATATTTACTCAAACTGAAAAGATTTCAACTATTTTCGACATATCTTGGCCCCAGTTTGTTCCACCAAGAGCAAATTCACGATTTGTCTCATTCACTCATGCTGTATATATACTTCATATGTCTTTGTCTTTGATATAGTGAGGGACAGAACTCCAATATGGCAAGAAAAGTCCATATTTACCCCATTTTAACAACACCAACAGTAGCTACTCATCATGATCAATCTACTGAGAAAGAACATCTGTTATTTTTACTGACCTTGAGTTGTCCCCTGTCATTTATTCCATATAGCATTTGCTGCTGTTGGTTGTTACTGTTGCTAGCATTAGCATTAGCATTAGCAAACTCTTCAATTTGCATTGTAGAAATTCTTTAGGTGTTTTAACGAGTATCTTCTAGGAGTTGTTTTTGTACTCCTCTTGACAATCTAGCAGAGCAGGAATTGAAGTTTACTTTATTTTCATTGCTGTGGTTTGTCCTTAAAATTCGCTGCAAGTGAACATTTCTTTAAGTAATGTGTTGATGTTACTGAACATAGAAGCAAAAACAGTGTGCTTCATTGTTGCAGCTGAGAACAAAATGTGGCAGCACAATTATTGAGTTCACCAAAATATTAATGTACATAAATTGCTAAAAGTTGCAGAAGATTTTCAATTTTTTCAACTTTGTTATCTTCAAAACACCGATGGCGGTGGATATCGCAGACCCTGAAACTCTATGACTAGACGTTACTTGCCAAAATGCACCTTGGAAGTTGTAGTTAACATCTCCCTCAGCATTTTTATGTACACAAGATTGTACCTTTGACTTTTTTTTTTTTTAAATCTTTCAAAAATGATTGAACCAAGAGAGTTTCGTGCTGATTCAAGCTGCAGAAGTGTTCCAACTGTGAATCGTTGTGTAATGCTGTCTATGGGAAAAATGAATGGGACATTTGGAATCAAGGGCATTCAGAATAGCTCCTCCCATTTGACAATTATTCTGTAAGATCACATTATATTAGTACTGAACATATTTACAATAACGAGTATGACCACTGATGTTCAGGTCAACCCGTCACGGTTATTAGTAGCTCAAAATTAGATGTACTGTGATTAGTTCATGTGATGCATACATCTATTAATAGTATGTATATATGCATTGGTTGCTTCAGGTTTCCACATTAAGCTTGTGTGACTTTTCATACCTTACCAGGTTTGTCTCAAACTTTTCAGACATCAAAAGATGTGATGTCACAAAATTATATTTATATAGGTATGTCTATTACACTCAGAGTCAAGGTGCACGTAGTCAAAGTCTGAGCACACTTTTTTTTTTTTTTGCTGTAGAGACTAAAGAAACATTGTTCAGGTCCTTTACTATCTTTAAAGGTAGTTTCACTGTCTTGCTAACAGAGACATCACATTTGTCTCCATCTGCCCCAGAATGCACCTATTCCCTGTTGTTTTCCACTGTGTCAGAGTGAGTTTGTCTTTCTCCATTAAGGCTCTGATGTTCTGGAAAGAGCTAAGCCTGGACTCTGCACAGACACATTTTATTATTCATTACATTTCATTCTTCCCATCTCTGTAGTGTCTGGTCTTGCAAGTGGAATCGAGAATAAGAATGACCTCTCTTATAATAATGCACAGTATCTCTCACTTAAAGAAGACATTTATCAGCAAGCTTGATATGCCAACCACATAATCAAATTGCAGCAGTGAGAGTGTATAAACAGTACAGAATTTATATAAATTTGGCACCTGTTTTTTTGTTACCTGGGTTATAAGGTCATAATGGCTTCAGTACAATGTTGTCACCATGCTTTAAAAATGTGCCCTAAAAATAAAGGTAAGAAATTACCTGAAGCAAAAGATAAAACAAAAAAATTCTACTCTATGAATAAGCATAGCCATCTCTTTCTCAAATTTCTAAGTAACAATTTGGCAGGATGTTGAGCCCAGGGGTTTTCTCTATCACAGATGAACATGTTAGCAGTAAGTGGTTACACCATTACAGGAAGTAGAGCAAAAGGTATGGGAAATGAAATACGAGCAGGGTTTATAAAAGATGAGGTGGCTCTTCAAATGATGGGTTAAGAATTTTGCTGAGAGCTATTTGTGGCCTGTCACTTCACATGCCACAGACACAACAGAATGGAGACACTTCTTTTTCTATTTCCTCAATTCAACTACATGGCCCCAAAGGAGGAAGCATATTTCAAAATGCTTGGTCCAGAAGACCTGCGGGCAGCAAAGATGAAGGAAAATACTAGCAGGTTAGTGTGTGATCTTCAACTATTTTCAAACATTTACTTTGGGAATGAGTGTTTTCATATTGTATAGTGCTACAGCAAATATTAGAAATCAGAGTCATTTTAATCTTGACAAACAAGATTAAACTATAGATTATTTTTGGATAAAAAAAAGTATTATTTTACTCAAGAGCAGCGTAACACTGAGAGAGGTAACATTTGTTTATACTATACATTAGTACCTGAACATGACTAAAAGCCACTGCTCAATGTAACGCTGTTAGACGTTTAAAAGCTATTGTCTTCTATGATGAGTCTCTTCCTTCCTTTTTGTTTAAACACATGTGCATACGCGCAGTAGCTTGTCTTTCAATTTGTACCACAGCCATGTTGTGTAATTTATAGCGTGTCAAGTTGCTGATTTGGTGAATAGTGCCACAGCTGCATTTACCGACAATTTGTGGAGCTTGATGTATTTTTTCTGTTGTTTGCAGAGAGAAAGACAAGGAGAGGAAGAGCCGACTAAGCCTTTTTCTCACCAAGTCAGGCTCTCATGAAAACGTCAGTCCTCATAAAAAGACAAATACAACACCCAGCAAGTGAGGCTAAATCCATTAATTTCATATACAGGCAATGTTGTATGGGACAAGTAGTATTCATTTTTAAACCCAGTTTCCAGCACCCTCCATGACTCATAGCGCACTTACAGAAACATGCCAGCTAAATCCAAAATGCTTTCTGCTGCTGCATCATTAAGGGAGAGCAGACTGCATCTCTGATTTTTTATTTTATTTTATTTTTTTCAGTGTCTCAACAGAGGCAGCTTTGCAATGGAGCGACTCCTTTGAAGAACTGCTAAAGCACTCAGGTCAGATTAATGCCCCAGACTTATCAAAAATGTTGTGATGAACTGCTGTCCAAAGCATTTTGTTCTGCTGTCAAACATTTGCTCCATTTGAATGTAATTTGTTACAGGCATCAATAGTTAATGAGGAGAGCAGTGAACATTTCACTACATATTTTAATGTTTGTTAACACAGATACTAATACAGAAACTATGCAACTTCCTCATAGTTAGAGAAGCTGCACTTTAGTGCCACACTGAAACACTGTAGCCCACTGAATGGGCTTATTCAGGTATTGTTAACATCAAGTCAAGTCAAGTGTTTATTGTCATATGCACAGTGAGGAAACGCTATTCCCTGTACAATGAAATTCTTACTTTGCTGTCCGCACGAACGCCACACAATATAAATGAAATATAAAGTAGATACGTAGGTAACACAAAGTCTAAGGCACTTTAAAACAGCTAATGAAAGAAGCATAATGAGAGATACAACAAGAACACAATGTAGTGAAGAGAGAATATATGTTACATGGGAGCTGTGTGTGCAAATAGTCAGCAGTGAATGTACAATTATGCATGTGCAAACTGAGTATGTAAACAGTACAGGTGGAATTACATGAGGTAGTTCCTGAGTCAGCTAGTAAATATAATGTGATAACAACAATAACGTTAAGTATTTTAAAGCTATTAACGTTATTGTATTTTAAAGCTTAAGTATTTTAAAGCTATTTAATGTTTCTTCATAATTAAAGTGTTTATAGAGAAGGTCCAGTTTAGTGACTTATTTATTTCTTATGAAAAGTCTGTTCCTCTTTAATACATACTTCCATAAAGAATAAAATTCCATAAAATTCTTCCATGATTCCAATTCTGATTCTGATAAAGAGCCTCATTTACCCAGCATGCTCAAAGTTACAAGTTTGGTTTGTAACATCTGTGTACTTTCTTTTCTGTCACTCTAGGAACTAAAAGTGTTCTCTGTTTCTGTTTGTCTACATCAGATGGGGTAGAAACCTTCTCTCAGTTTCTCAAGACAGAGTTCAGTGAGGAGAACATTGAGTTCTGGTTGGCCTGTGAAGAATACAAGACCATTGATTCTGCGACAAAGCTGCTGTCCAAAGCCAAATATATTTATGCAATATTTATTGAATCCGAGGCCCCTAAAGAGGTATGGCATGGCATGTTTAGTTATCATAAACTGCACAGATTTAATGCTGCAAAATAGGCCATAAAGTGTAGCTGCAAAGGCTCAAACAACCCCTGAATTTTATTTGGCTTATTTGTAAATGAATGCTATGGGAGGTTTAAAATATTTATGCCACCGTAATAAAAATAATAGTGGGTGAATTCTAAAGTGCTGCACGGTCATGAGCCTGCAGCAGATTGACCTTCGTGAATGGTCGTTAGGAGCTGCACTTTGCTGAGGTCATGCATCTAGTGCATGCACCGTTGCACAGCCTGTCAGATTATTTTTGTACGAGACGGTTTCGGTCTCATTCCCTCTGCGAGAATGATGCGACCACCATATTGAGATGCTTTCAGGGCTTGCAGGAAACCTGACCGTTAAAGAGCCTGGTGTCTGGTTTGATGTTTTGACATTCCTCTACAGAACTGGAGGGGACATCACCCACACACTCTCAGTTTCAGATAAATGTATATGTAAACTTGAAAGTTAGTTTTTCAGAGCATGGTGCAGTAACAGGAAAGTTTATACCAACTCTAATGATTTGCAGGCATATTCAAACAGTGGTGGAAAGTAGCCAGGTATATTTACTCAAGTACTGTACTTAAGTAGTTTTGAGGTATCTGTACTTTACTTATTTCCATTTTCTGTTACTTCATACTTTGACATTTTAGAGGCAAATGTACTTTTTAGTACTACCTTTACCAGTTGCAACATTAAATGTGATGTACACAATAATATATCAATTGCTATATTCCAATTTTATGATATACATTAATATCAACTACTGTAAGTAGTTGATTGCCATGTAAATGACACTTTCTCTGATTTTTTTGGTGTGTGTGTGTGTGTGTGTGTGTGTGTCCTGATTTCCTTTCACTCAGGTCAACATTGACTACAACACCAAGGTGGACATCCAGAAGAACATGGCGCAGCCTACAAAGAGCTGTTTTGAAACAGCCCAGATGAAAGTCTACAGCCTGATGAAAAAGGACTGTTACCCCAGGTTCCTGCAATCTGACATTTATCTGCATCTCACCAGGAGGAAAGGTCCTGGGGCCACGATGTTTCGCAGAAGGTCACGCTCTTGTGTATTCAACAACAGAGGCGAGGCCACAGCTGAATCTTCGGCCTGGTAGATGTAACATCACACGCATAATGAAAGGGATTATTCTAGAGTCATAATACATTATTTGCAGCACAGCTTCTGAAAAGTGCGGAGGGTTATTATCCACAGGTTTGCCTCTGTAAAGTATAATATATTTCTATAACCACAGGGGTCAGAGTAGATTATTCCAGTTACATACATGGCAGCATGCCAGCAACAAACAATTAATGGCATAGCTGTATTGTATATCTTGGGAAATATGCTTACTTGCTCTTTTGCCAAGTATTAAACAAGAAGATTGATACCGCTTTCATGTGTGTAAATATAAAACTACAGTCAGCAACTGGTTATCTTAGCCTAGCATAAGAAATTGGAAAAGAGGGAAACAGCTAGCCCACCTAGCAGCCCCCCTAAAGCTCACAGATGAACACATTACATATTTTTTCATTCAATTCAGGCAAAGATTAAAGAGCACTATTGTGTATAGACTCATCTTGTGAGCAAAGTGTATTGTCACACCCCTATTAGTGGCATTTCTCTGGTTTTCTTGCATTACATGATGCAAACTATAGGCATTTTAAAAGCTTGGGATAGTGCTGCCTATGTAGAAAAATGTGTGTGCAGCACAGTGATGAGACATCATATGCAAACCAGCAAATTTCCCAAGATGTTGTACTTTTCCTTTAGATGCTACACAGCAGGATAACATCTGGCACCATTAGCCTTTCATATGAATACATTTAGAAAGGTGATGAGGTCGCCACATTAGAGCCATGTGGCTGCCTGAAAATGATGGACCCACACTGGCCTATCAGAATTGAGTATTCTCATGGCCGTAGTATAAAATCAGCAATGTGTAGCATTCTCTTTTTCAGAGACAATGAGCTGCTTGTGGATTCGACTTTTATTGATGATTTTATTGATTTTTGATTCTATCAGATCTTTCAGAACTTGAATGAAAATGGGATGTTTGGAGAAAGAATCTCAGCTGAAGTGCCTCCATGCTACTGACAGTATGCTGAACAGGCAGCCATGCTGAGGCCGCTCTGCCGAATTCAGACACATGACACTTCAATTGCCTTGACTCCAATACAGAAATAGCACCTCATACAACATTAATACAGTTGATACGGCATACAAGCTAATTTGACCATATCTCATTAAAATGGATTCCTGACTTTTCCCCATACTGTCCAAGCCCCTCCAGACTAACTTGCAGTGAAGGCCTGCAGCAATGGTGACTGTGAAGCACTGAAGCTTTTTAATGAGGGTTATAGATCTTTCATTTTTGTTATTAATTTCGCAAAAATTGCATATATCTTATTTAAATACTAATATTACATTATATGATTTATGATTCCTTTTTTTCAGTTTGCTACCATCGTAAATAATTTATGGATTACTATGGTACAGTATGTGTTCCCTTGCTCTTGTAAAATGTACATACTGTAAGAGTAACTCAAATAAACAGTCTTACAAAAGCAGTTTTAATGAGGCCTTTGCTGTCATTAATTAGTTTGAATGACTGCATATAAATGTGACAAATGGGGCCATAATATGTGCATATTACACTAGTGGGGAAAATTGTGATTGTGTGTAGATCCCTATTCCAAATCACTGAAAAATTAATAGACCTTATCAACTCCCACTACTCTAGTACAGAATTATTCATGGTCTTGTATATGTATGCACAAGCTATACTTCTTACAAAGACAAATATGCATTAACTCGAGACCTGTCAGTGATCTCACTGAGTTCGCCCCCAAACACTTGAATATGAATGCAGAAAAAATGTGTCCCAGTATATATATGGCACAATATACCAATATACCTTGTGAAATTCTCCCCCCCTCTACAATGCACTTCATGCTGCTGGTTTGCAATGATATTGACAGACCTGAACAAACTTCAGCGCTACTCAAACAGAAGGCTGTGCTCAATTTGAAAGTTCATTAATACAGATGTTAGGGTTTTTAGTAGCCTTCAGTTATATATCCATGTAGATGGCGGCAGCATGTGTATCCTGCAGCTCCTGCTGTCTTCTCACACACACAGAGGAGAGTGAAACGTAATAAAGTCTTAACAAAGGTAGCTCAGCTGGCCTGCCAAATTCATCGCATCTGAAGATTAGTTGCCCGCTAAGAATTTGCTATGCAGATTTCTTTTTTCTTTTTTATTGATAGTTAAACCTGTTCCTCAGTCTGAGCTAAAAGCCTCTGCAATCATCCATGAGTTAAAGATGTACTTTAGAACTTCTGAAGGGAAGCAAAGGAGTAAGAAAGTAGTTTGCCTGGAGATATGAGGCTTGCAAAACAAGATGAATACCAGTTTAAGAGGAGATTAAAACAAAAAGATTTGTTGTAACATGTCTAATACAGTTTGACACAAATTTTCTTTCACAAATGGGTTTCTTATTAGAAGATCCCTCAGTCAAAGCCAGAGTCTATCATTAGTTTTGCAGCCTTGGGCTCTGGTTTCCAAACCTTTACACCACAGGTGTGAAGAACCACTTTGTCCCATCTCAGAGGCTCTTTTTTCAAAGTGATACAAATTTAATGATTTGTTGACTGCTGGGCTCATACACTGAGTTATGAAATTCTCCCCCCTCTACAATGCACTTGATGCTGCTGGTCTGCAATGATATTGACAGGCCTGAACAAACTTCAGTGCTACTCAAACAGAAGGCTGTGCTCAATTTGAAAGCCTCAAGGTGAAAGTTTGTACCTTCCATTCTAAACACTGTACTTCAAATGAAGTGTTTGGAGCATATTTAGAGGTTTGTGTGTGGGATGGGGGGATGATACAGTTAAATGGCTCTCAGGCAACTTCCCACAATTCTTAAAGTGTCTGCATGTTCATCCAACAGTAGGATGTTTCTGTTTGTTTGGTTTGATATATTATTTATGCGCCATCAGATATTGGATCAAATTTACTGCTGAAAAGATGAAAGCAAGTAAACAAGAGAGAAAGAAAGGTCACTTCAGGATCCCATACAAGTTGAGAGAAAGAGATGAAACATTTTCTAATTAAATCAAATGCACCTTTACTGATCACTCTCAGGAACTCAAAATCTAACTTAAGTGAAATCTCCAGCAACCTCCACCCTGCAATCCTGGACCTGAGCAACTTCAGCAAAAGGGTCAAAGCCTCATTCATGTTCAAGTGAATAAAATAAGCAAGACCAACAACAAAGAGAGGCACATATAATCAGAAGTGTCACTAGAGAAAGGTAAACACAAGAGGGAACAGTGGAGACAGGAGGCCAGGAGAGGACTAGAGTGCCACCATGTGTACGAAGAAAAACGTGCAACTTTATGGTGTTAAACCACAATGAACTGCTGTATCACTAATGAGATATTGCACATTTCATGAATGATGTATGAAACCAAATCACTGCTCTTTTATGAATGTCCCTTTTATCCCTGGATGGTAACACCAAGCACTCAGAATAACCTCATTTAAGAACATGAGAGGTTGAATCACAACAGGACAAAACATCTTGGATACTCAGCAGGGAAGCCCAAAGACTACACTCCTCAGTACAGTGCTCATGTTGTTCCTGGCTGGCAGTGCCCGTTTTGAAAAACAAATTTCTCAACCTGCTACATCTCCACACATGCAAATAGGAGCAGCGTGGGGGTTTTCCATCATCCATTATGATTTACATTCTTGGTTTGCTTCTACCAATCATGTCTCCACCAGTGATCAGAAAGGTCAGCGAGTTCAGGATTGTCCAAATTGGTTAAAATGCAATGGACATACCTACAATAATATACTGTATGTATCACAATTCATTGTTTTATAACCTGTTTACAAGTGGCATACACAAAAGAGCAGAGAGCAGTCTTCCACTTATAGCTAATGATCATGTATACTAATGCTAATTCTTTCTTGTGCTCATCTATTTTAAATCATAATATCTAATCATGCCATGACGTTTATGGTTTTGAGACTATCAGGTACATTGTTACATTCATGTGTCACATGAAAAGAGCTGCAATAACTTGGGTGATCCCATAAATTTTCCTCTAGCACCACCAGTTATTTTCAGAACTTTAGTTTATGACCAAACTAAATAAAATGACATCCAACCAGCCTGCTGTACTTTATATACACTGCTCGTTATCAATTGTTAGCATGATAATACCTCAAATTAAGATGGTAAATATGGTAAACATTTATATCGTAATCTTCATGTTAACATTGTCACTGGGGGAGTGCTTCCATACTATAGTGTTTGCATTTAGCTTAAGACGTATGGAAGTAAATTCCCACCATAACGTTTGAGGGTGCAGAGCCTACATTTTGAGTGCTACTCAGTTTGCAACGCAGCATTTGAGATTGCATAGGCATAGATTTGTAAGTGCAAATACAGATTTGAAATCATAATCCCTACATGTCTGTGCTCGTTTCTGAATCTGAGCTCTCCTAGGTTTCCCCAGTGGGTTTTGTGTGACACTATGTTACCACCAAAAGTTTTGAAAGCACACAAAACAAGTTAAAGTGTGAACCAGTTTGCCAATCAGAATTTACCCTTTTAAGACCTAGCGTGCTGGAAGGTGTGGCTCGCCTAAACAGACATACCCATAACAATACTGTACAACTGGACCCTATATCTGGTCCATAGAGTTTAAGTACAGAGTCATCAGTGTAACAGATGATTTGAGCAAGTAGCAGGATCCTCCCTCACTCTCAAATCTGATTATAATCTTGCAAATCTGTGCCTGCAGGCTCTTGAACTCTGCAAACTGAATAAGTCTCAAACTTGCTTTGTGCGCTTTCAAAACTTTTGGCATCGTCCAACTTTCACACAGAACCCAGTGAAGAAATCTGAGAGCTCAGACTCAGAAACAAGGGCATGCATGGCTGGGATTAGCTCTCAAATCTGATTCTGCACTTGTAATCATGCATCTGCACACTTTCAAATGCTGAATTGCACACTGAGGTGCAATGTGGTTAGTGCGCCCTCAAACGTTATGGTGGGATTAACTTCCATAAAAGTGCCAGTGTTGTGGCTAGCCTCACAGCTAGCATGGCTGTAGCCTTTTCAGTCTCATTCAGACAAGATTAACATTAATAAAAAAAAAAAATTTAAGTACTCCTAAAAGTACTTCTCAGTAAATTCACTCATGATTCCTAATAGCAGCCATGGGAAAATTTCAGGAAAAAGTCTGAAATACACGTAGAGATTCAACATGACTGAGAATACAGTACTACCTGTAGCTAACATTACAACCGCAAATGTCATGATCTTTAGCATGGCCTTGCTTCCCAAATAAGCTTATATGTTGGCATTTGTAACTGTAGAGATTAACTAAAACCATCTCCACTTTCACAAAAAATTTAATTTTAGACAAAGCTTATTAAAGAAAAGTAGAAGGACAAACAGCTCAATCCCTGGATAAAACAAGGGCACACTCCAATCAGAATTTAAATCACATGAGGACCTGTGAGTTCACAGAAAAATAGTACAGTTGGTAATTGTGACTGGATGGGATTACACTGACCAAGTAGTAATGTTAAAATCACCTTTCTAGAGAAACAAATCCAGGCCAAGTGGCGCTTTAGCCATGTTCACATGAGCAATGCCAAATCAGATTTTAGCCAGAAGCTGACAAATTTATGGACATGGAAAACATCCATCCAAAACACACCCTTTCTCTTTCAATGGTCATTGATCAGTGGGCTGAAGGTGTTGTATGAGACATATTCATAAATCACTGCTTGTTTATGCTTTTGTTGCCATGATGAATAAGGAACACTGCAGATATGCAAATGTCAGGATAACGAGCCTTTCCCTCAGTAGTGAATTTGTTTATGGTTATTTGTTTATGGTCGGGCTCTTTTCCAGAGCCTCCTGGCCATTGTACATTGCTTTAGTTAAATCTTAGTCTGAATATGATATGAAGTGCTCAGCCACAGCAGGCCATTCATTCTGTCACCATATTCCTCACTATAAATGTTCAGTTAGAGAGAGGTGAAGAGATGAAAGGTTTGCTCTTTATAGATTAATTTGACTGAATCATCCTGATTAAATTCACCTTTTTTCAATGCCATAAACTATCTGCCACCCCCTTACTGCCACATCCATGTTAATGATGATCATTGTTTTTGACAGCAAGTGAGGGCAGTTCAAATCACAGCCGATGTGCAGCAGAGGTAGAAGGATGCCCTGTCTCTCCCAACAACAACACTTTGCATACAAATTTCCATATATTCCATTCATGCTGGGTGGGGGTCATTTAGATTTGTTCAGTCACTTGACTCCCTCATTTCCAAACAATCACAACTCCATCTTCAGTCTGGCAGGATCTTATCTCTGTCTCCCTTAGTAGAGGACAAGGAGATGGCGATAAAGTGAGTTACTGCATATTTGATTATTGGGCCTTTACCATTTTCAGCAGGCAACAGCTTATAGCAGCCATGTGGAAAATACCAAGGAGGTTTTCACTCACTGTAAGTTTCACCTTGCATTGTGCCTTTATTTCTGAAGGGGCTTGTAGTGATCGGAGGATACAATTGTTTACAGGTCATCTTAAAACATAACACCTCACATACAAAAGATGAATGGATTGGCCTGCAAGTGTGGTTTATAGGTTGTTTGTGCTGTGGAGTTCACAGATAACTGGGCTAGTGATAGATCTTGATACTCTTTTCAAGGGTAGATTGTGTTGCTTTCCCAAGGATCCCCTGGATGATGTTGAAACTTGGAGTGAGTCTGTGGACAAAGTCCTTGGTTGTAAAGGTGAGCGTCTCTTCTCATTTCCAGCTGGGCAGATAGCATTCCGGCAGTTCCTGAAGTCCGAGTACAGTGAGGAGAACATACTGTTTTGGCTCGCCTGCGAGGAGTACAAAAAAATCAAAACAGTCCCAGAGATGATCTCCTCTGCCAACAGGATCTACTCAGAGTTTGTTCATTCAGAAGCACCCAGGCAGGTAAATGATTGCAAGCTGTCAAAAAAAAAAGAAAAGAAAAGATGGAATTTTTTGGGAAATCAATTTGAAAATATTACCAATTGCATCTGAATTTAGCAGGACTATTGCAATATATTTGCTGCTATAAAGCTGGGCCTTTGTGGTGGTAAAGCTGCAGAAATCAATTTTAAATGCACTCCAGTTGTTTCCCTCTTGGACATTATAGTGAACAATGATGAAAGGAGTTGCTGTAATACGCCCCTGGGTGATGTTGTTTGATTCTAGATCAACATAGACTGCTCTACCAGAGAAAACATAACAAAGAACATCTCCCAGCCGACCCTGACTTCGTTTGATACAGCACAGAAGCTTATCTACAGTCTGATGGCCAGGGATTCCTACCCACGGTTCCTAAAATCTGACATCTATCAGGGACTCCTGAGGAGAAATACTTCAAGGTGACTGTTTTAAAACTGAAAGCCTCTCAGACAGAGGCTTGCAAAATCCTCTCTCCAGCTCTCCTTGATTTCAGCGTGGATAACCGGTTTATGCCGTACAATTCAGATTCTAAGTGTAGCAGGAATAGCTTTTCTCCACCTGTGTGATTCAGTAGACAGTTACAGCTCAAGAGTATTTGTGGCTTGTATTATACTTCATTGCTTTAATTAAGGTAAAATTAAAACATGTTGTGAACACGATTTTTATTTGATTATCTATTTTCTGATCTACCCTATGAAGTTAATATTAAAAAGATTTCTGGTATTGTAAAGTATTATCACCACTTTGTCTAATTGATTATGCAAATATAAATCCTAACACTCGCTGAGAAATTCAACCTTCACGTGCAAATAAATATGTGAGTATATTGTTAAACATTTGTCTCAGTGTTTTGTTCTAACAGTTGTTTTCTTGTCAATTTACATTGTAGTTTTTGAAATACCTTGAAAATAGAAAAACAACTCGATTCAGCTGAATGACATTTGGTTGTGGTCATTTTGGATGTAATGCAAATCACCGTAGTTGTTGTCAGAGAGGAGTTGTTTGTCTATTAATAATTAGTAATGTCCTCACTGGTCACACAAACACCAGATGGCAGCAATGTTTCAAGCAGCATCATTCTACAAACAAGAAGACACAACTAATCAAGATAGAAAAGGAAAAAAAAAAAGAGAAAAACTCATGTCGCTTCTGTGGCAACTTCCTCAAGCCTCACATGGGCTGCACCATTAAGAACAGAAACTGAATCAATTTTGTCTCAAGTTAAATTTGCTTGACACGCCAGACACAGGGCTCAAGGCAGGGTTGCACTTTCGGTAGCATTTCAGTTGGTTTCACAATACCAAGCAAGTTCATTCTTTTTTTAAGTATTGGGACAGTATTCAAATCATAAGTTTGAATGTGCTGTTGCTCAAAAAAGCTCATGGTCCTTTACATTTGTGAATCGCCTTTCAGAGCAAGGTTAGAGAAGGTTGTATCAGTGGAGAAAAGTAATTAAGTACAGTTATTTTACTTAAGTACAGTTTTGAGGTATTTGTGTTGTGCTTGAGTTTTTCCATTTTCTGCTTGTTCATACTTCAACTTCACTCCATTTTAGAGGCAAATATTGAAATATTGTACTTTTTATTGAGCTATATTTACTGGATGACTTTAGTTACTTTTCAGAATCAAATTAATAAAAAATACAATATAATCATAAGACTTAAATTCACAAGCTTCCCAGTACTAATTCATCTTATAAGCATAAAAGCTCGTTAAAACTAGCTTCGCCTTTTCCAGCTGCTATGTTAAACGTGATGTATAATTATGCATCATTAATTATACTCCAATAATATGATATACATTAACGTTAAATGTGCCATTCTGCATAATGAGTACTTTTACTTTTAGTACTTTAAGTATGTTTTGATGTTATTACTTTTGTACTTTTACTTAAGTAACATTTTGAATGCAGGAATTTTACTTGTAACTAATATTTTTACACAGTTTTACTGCTACTTTTACTTCTACTGGAGCATTTGCTAAAGGAAAAAGAGAGCACAATAAAGCAGTTTCTAAACTGCTTTTAGAGATAATGTTTAGATACACAAAAGAGTGTAAACTCTCATGGAAAATGTTGCTATTCACATGTAGGATTTTAAATAATAGAACATACAGTGCTGCAGTTACATTGTTTCCTTTGACATGTACAGCCTTAATGATCTTGTTGTCTGATGTGTTCTTGTGCATTTGGAAAGTGGAAGCAGACATGCGGTGGTTTCACCGTATGACTTCTGGGTGTTGGATGAACAGTTTGTTCTGTTTGTGTTGGTGGCACTGAGCGTATGGGGGGACTTATTTTAAGAGGTGTTAAAGCTGCTCTGTGTTGTGCAGACAACTCAGACAACTCACCACAACTTCCTCTAGTTTAGACAGTTTTGACTGCACTCACCTCTTTGTGGGAGGAGGGTTCAGTTTGTTAGATTCTGTAAAAAAAAAAAAAAACTTTGTGTTTGGCAAACCACATTTAATTTGCACATACAGTTATGTAGCATAACAGTGTGTATCCCAGGCAAGTTATTGCTTGCAGGAGGTAAAAAGGACTGGGGAAACAAAGAAAGTTACAACTCTGAATGACACCAGCTGATGGAAGAAACTCACAGAGTGTTGCAATGATAAAGAACAAAAAGATAAGAGATAACATCAACACAACAAGCCATCAACAGCTGTATTCTAACACAAAACATTTTCAGTCAGGCAAAACAGTACTTAAGCTCAAGTTCAAAAGCAACTCTTTAAATGTATGTGTTTTGTGGTTATGCACATTTTAAATATCACTAAAATGATCTCAACAACAACTCTTAACAACTACTAGATAGATGAAAGTGCATGGACAATCACGATCCCCAACAGATGAGTCCTACAGGCTTTGATGACACTATACCAGCAGGGTGATGTTTTATCCATTAGACTGAAACTTGAAATTTTGTGCTGATAATCATGGTCCAGAGAAGGTAAATTCTGGGTATCCCCAAACTTTTTCTCCCACACCACTGTTGGTTTGGTAACCGTCAGCATGTTTATATCATCACTGTAGGCATGTTAACATGCTGACATTAGCATTTACCGCTTTGTATTGTCTGTTCTGGTAGATATTTTTTTATCAAAAGAGGGATGAGAGCTGATGGACTCTTCAGTTCATATGATAAATGCAGATGATTAAGGACAATTCAAGTACTGTGTTCAGCTCCAATACCTGACTCATTTTTTTTTTTACATAAATGGTCAGTCATAAAAACAAGAACCTGATCTACAAGAATTTCCTCATAAAAACTTGGAAAGTCCTGGCTATTGTCATATTTTTTACATCAAGGGTAATAAAGAGCACAAAAACTGAGGAACTGACCAAAACAATGTGAGAAAACTGAAGTAAAGTAAAGCAAACTGAAAACTGAGGACTGAAAAACTCTTCATAAGTTCAGAAGACTTACAGACAACAAGAGATGGCTTTTGTTTTGCCAAATTTCCTGTTATGACAGAAGCAGGAAGTGAAGTGAACAGTCTTAAAGTTATTACCCATGTATGGCATTTATATCTTATCTATATTATCTTTTTACAGCCAGCACAGAGATGGAATTATACCCTTTGTGTCTGGAAAGTTATATTCTGGCTAAGGTGGAAACAGTGGGGTGACTTAGTGGTCTAAGACTCATGTAACCACACCAGCCCTGGTTTGGTTCTAAGGTGGGTGATCTTTGTTATATGTCATCCCCCTCTTTCTCCTTATACTTCCTGTTTGCCTCCACAGTCACAAGTCATTAACAGAAAGAGAAGATTCAAACTCACCCAAGGCAATCTAGCTGTAGAGTGGCATAAAATGTTTGAGGCTATGTTTCTGTCAGAGGCAAATCAAGCACAAGACAAGAATGGCACATTAACTGTCCTCATATGACAACATCAAGTCAAGAGTGAAAGTTCCAATGAAAGCATAGACAAAGGGAAAAAATGTGAAACTCAGATACCAAGGTGTTATTTGAGCAATAAACATGGATATTACAAATATTCAACAATCTGTCATTTCATGAAAAGTCTTACTGTCACAATAACAGCTATAATATTGTGACATGGTAATGTATTTTGTACTGCAGCCCAATAGCCTTTGTTTTCTTCTTCTTGGTGTCTTATGGCAGTTGGTAAACAACAACATGGCACTTTACCACCACCAACTGGACTGGGGTGTGGATCAGGAGGCTAACATTTAGCCTCTGTTGAAGGCATACAATTTTGAACTATAGAAACTTAAAACACTAGGAAGGTGTCAGATAACTGGCCATTAAGTTAAGCAAGTTAACAGTCAATGAAGAGTTTGACATTTTGACAAATGTACTTCACTTAGCTGGGAATAAGCGGTATGGAAAATGGATGGATGGATGGACTTCACTTAGCTAATGTTAGCTAAACAACTAGATTTGCACTGCTTCTTTAATTCTAGGAAATTTTCACTTTCTTGTTGAGAGTTAGAACAGCGTCGAGCTAACACTTTCCCCCTGCTTTCAGCCCTTAGCTGATTCTAAGCTAGGATAAATGGCTGCTGGCTAGCTTCACAATTAGCAAACAGAGTGATGTTAATGCTTTCATTCAACTCTCAGCAAAAAGTCAAATAATTTAATTTTAAATGGCTTATCTCTTGCTTTAGGTTAGTGACCTAGCTGACATTTTTTTAACCTTTATGCATTCAAGGTAAGTCCACTGAGCTACCCTGCTCACGTTCATAGTACAACCACAGACTGTCTTGTGGCCACTGAGCAGCTCCACTGAGTGTGGTGAATTGACTGAGGATGCATTTATTACATTTGTAAATAGAAGAACGTGTAGTTTCTTTCTTAAAACTTAACATAGTCTTACTTACTTTAATTAATATTGTCAGGATGCTACTGCAAAATACAATCATCTAATTCAAAATGTTCTCCAAACCTGAGACAGTGGCACTGGTTCTTAAGGCAAACAGGTACAGATACTAAAGTATTTTTGTCTATCTGTGCTGACTTTTCCACTACCCCATTTGCATCCCCAGACTTTAAACCAAACAATGATCCAGGACTGAACATAGTACAGACAAACAGCTGTAGCTGCAGTCTGCATTTGCGTCATCCCCAACTTCCTTTTATTTCTGTGGTTAGTTTAGAATGATAACAACTCAACAGCCCCATTTCTCACTTCCGCTGCATATATATATAAGGTAACAGTGAGCAGGTTATTCAAACAGACAGTGGCGGTTGGAGATCTTGCAACTTAAGAGAAGTGCAAAGCATTGTTACCATGCCAAGTCTAATCACATCACCACCAAGTGAGCTGCAGCACCTCAACATGGACGCTGAGAGCAAGAAGAGGGGAAAAGACAGGTAAATATTTTATTTTAATTGATGCATTTTGCCTGCTACAGCATGTCATGTCATTGTTGATCGATTCGTTAGTACAACCTGAACATATCAGTAAAGTAAGTTTTTGTTTGGTTAACCAGGGGAGGAAACCTGAAGTCTCGGCTGCAGTGTAGATCATGTCAAGCTGCTAAGACCAAGGGGTAAGTGAAGAAAACTTTGAAGTGGAAACTAAACATCTAAACTGCTGGCATACGTGACATGTGTGAGTGACAGTGCACCTCTCTTTTGCAGGCTTTGTTTTGAAGAGATGTCCCAGTGGTCACACTCACTAGAGAGACTTCTATCATCCAAATGTATGTTAATCAACATGTAGTCCTGAAGTTTTATAATCAGTATTCTTTCTTAAAGCTGGCTAATAGCAGCTCATTGTTCCTATCTCTTTAGATGGAATGAAGATATTCCAGGCCTTCTTGAAGTCAGAGTTCAGTGATGAAAACATTGAGTTTTGGCTGGTCTGTGAGGACTACAAGAAGATCAAATCTTCCTTCAGGATGTCGTCCAGGGCCCAAAAGATCTTCAAACGCTACATTCAAGCTGAAGCTCCTAGAGAGGTATTTACAGAACTTATATTAATGCAGATAGCTTAGCTCTTTTCACAATATTCTATACCAGGTTTGCTACTTTTTAAAATATTTACCCGCCCTCATTATGGTTGCTTTGCTTCCAGATTAACATTGATCAAAAGACCAGGGAGCTGATCCGGAGGGACATTAAGGCACCCACCACAGTGTGCTTTGATGATGCGCAGAGGATCGTCTACGGGCTAATGGAGAGGGACTCTTACCCACGTTTCCTAAGGTCTGACATCTATCGGACTCTAATGGACTCCACATCAGAATTAGGGAAGATGTAAAGAAGACTGAAGCCAGAGAGAGAGTGTTTGTAGAATCTGGACTGCAAAGCTGAGCCCAGTGCTGGACTACCTGAGAAAAGCTGTGGTGTGTTTGTTTATCCTCAGACCCCTGCTGGTGATCCTAACCAAAAGCACCCAAAACATGTAATTTTCAGCACATTCATGCCTTAATTTTAAGCTGGAGAAGACATGTTTTGGCATAGGACATGGCCGCATGTGACTGTGTTAGAGAGGAGTAGCCAGCTCTGTAGTAAAAAAGTTTAAGAGAGATTGTTCAGAAATAGCTGGTATGATGGGAACTGATGACTGTAGCTTAAAAAAAAAGCAACTGCTGCTAACTGCTATAAAGTAAAGGACTTCCCAGAGATGCCGTGGTTATGTGAATGATTAGTGAAAATGCTGGGGACTTTCTGTGAGACACCAGGAAATATATGTGGTGCAAACAACATCCTCCACCCGAGATGCATATGAGCAAGCCTTTATCGACATTTGCACACCATCTGAAGCTTACTGTTATCTCACTAAAGCAGTAGTATGTAGGTGTGGATATTTTATGCAGAGCATTATGAGTTTAGGTTTTTTACACTCTGACATCAGTGCTGTCATTCTGAAATAACTGATATGTTACAACTATATTACAGCTATTGTTATTATAAGCTATGTGCTGAAAATGTATTACACAGTTTGTGAAAACATTGTGTATGTGAATATTAGGATAGAACTATATATGTTTAATAAATAAATTTTACATTTGCATTGAAATCTGCCTAAAAGAAATCATTTTAAATGTTAAGTGAGACAATTACTAAAATCTGTTTTTATCACATTCAAGGTCAGATTTCCACAAATCTTTAGATACACAATACCTTCAGAATCCGGGGAAACAACTTAGTCACAGGTTCATTCATTCATGTATTTGTTCGTTCATTCATTAGTCACAGTTACAATATTTACCATCCGGTGCTCATTGTGATCTCAAGTTTTCCTTAAAGCAATAGTTCTTCTTATGTATTTTATTACTCAGATGGATGAGAAGATCAATATCACTAACATGTCTGTACAGCAACTATAAAGCTACAGCCAGCAGCCAGTTAGCTTAGAGCATGAAGAGTCAAAATTAGAAAACAACTAGCCTGACTTTCTCCAAGGGTAAAATAAATCAGCTACAAGCACATCTAAAGCTCACCAGTACACATGTTGCAGCTATTGTTTTATTTTGAAAAATCTTTATAAAATTGAATATGTTTGGACAGAACTAGGGTACCTTTTACCTTCCATATCCAGTCTTTATACTAAGCTAAGCTAACTGCTGCTGTGTACAGGTGTGAGACTGTACTCTCACACCTGTCTCTTTCACTGAACTAATGGAAAAAAGCAAATAACTGTTGCCTTTATTCCCTTTTATTGTCCTCTCTCTGAGTGGCTGACTCTGTCACATATACTTTACATTTTATATCAGCTTGTTTCTGCTTCTCACTGAAGTTACAGTATAGTGAGCGAAACACTCAAACACAATGGCTGCATCTTTTCCTACATCAGCTTTTCATGTGTCATTGGTCTTTCATGGTTATGAATGTGTTTCGCCCTCTTATTGCTATTCTAGGGTTCATTCAGCCTTTGTTTTACCATTCAGTTTTTACCATGCAGTATTGTAATCAGACGCCACATTCACAAATTGTTCTTGGAGCAGGGAGGTACTGCATTTATATCACAAAAAAGTACAGATAAGGAAGTTTATCTGTTGAAACCTATCAGATATCATATCATTATGCTAAAGGTTACAGAAATTAGGAAGAAGACCCAACTGCTCTACCGCATCCTCTTTTAATTTCACTTTTGCAAGCACACACACACACACACACACACACACACACACACACACACACACAAAAAAGACGCACATAAATCAGAAATGCACATACACAAGTAAAAATACCTCCAAAACACCTTATGTGCTTTCAGACAGTAATATAAAAGAAACTGTAAGTAGAAAAGCATGAAAGCACTTTTGTGTTTTTGCCAAAAGACCACCCAGTGAGATGAGAACACCTTTTTTTTTTCTCACAGAGGTCATCAGATATTTTGTTACTAGTTGAAGTGTTAAACTGACACCCGGCAGACGTCTGCCTGACTAGTCACCATTTCCTTATTTGAACTGTTCTGTCTAGCAAGATGATACTGAGATATATTAGACATATCAGCATAAGTAGCTAATAAACAAAAACTAAACAAAAAAATAGGTCATCTATGAGAAACAGGATGTTCATTTTTTTCACGCAATGCACAGCAAGTCATTCTGAAATGTGTCCACATACCGCTGAATGCACCCAGTATGCACAACATATACTACTCAGTCCTAGAGACTATTTTTTGAAAGCCATAGGTCAAATTGCCATGTCATGAGACAAAAGTCATACTTTTAGAACCACAATACTTGTATACTAGGTCAAAGTGTTTACTAGTCACCAGTATGGGTGATGTTGCTTAACCAGTTCAAAAAGTATTTGTCTTAGATCTGTTTCAAAGGCAGATGAAAAATGCTCCACAGGAGAAACTTTCTGCTGCATAAAAATATATTTCATTCAACCATGAGGTTAAAAAAATGTCACTGGTAAAACCGATGTCACAATCAAAGTAAAACAGAATAACCTTTAGCATTTGAAGACAAAAGGTCCAGTGACTCATTACAGTGTTATAATAAACAAAACTGAGTTCACAAAGAGTTTAATACAGCACAGCAGCATACAGCAGATAAACGAGACTAAGGGTCAGTCCCAATTCCCTTATTTGTTCACTTCTTGATGTTATGTAACATGCTACATAATCTAAGATAGTGAACAAGGTGTCAACATTATACCTACAAAATATCAGCATGTTAGAGCTTTTACTGTGAGCATGTTAGCATTATAATATTTGCCAATTAGCTCAAATAAAAAAAAAAAACTCATTGGTTTTGCAGGTATTTGGACATAAATATTGGATCTATTGGATAGATGAACATTTTCACTCTAAGGTTCCACCTGATCAAAAGTCATGAGATTACCAACATTAATACAGTGGGGAACATAAATGTCTGCCAAATTTCATGACAAGGGGATTTCACTCAAAAACACAAGTATAAACTGCAAACAAAAGATTGTGCTGTGTAAAGCATTTTTTTAGACTTTAAGTGGTAAGCTTACCATAGCCCAGTACATTTACTGATTCACACAAAATATGCAGATTAATAAGATATTTAGATTCAGTGTCTTTAGTCACATACTGTAATTCAGTCTCAGGGAGCAGATTAGGCTTTAAATCTTTTAAAGCTATCCCAGCATGCATCGATTAAACCTGGACACGTGGAGTGTCTCCAGTCCACTTGACCTCCAGGTCTTTAGACTGTAAGTGAAAACTACAGAGCACACAGGGAAACCCCATTTGCCCATGCATGTTAGCAATGAATGTATCAACCTGTTAACCACGGAGCCACTGCTCTGCCTTGTCATGAATTGCAAATGAAAGGTTTTTAAACTTTGTTAACCTTTGGTCTCGGCTGCCATAGCTGTGTTATGTAAAACTAATATGTGATCAAGAGTATACCCAAATGTTCATAATCTTCTAAGCCTGTCATGCAAATCTAGATTCTAGATTTGTATCAACAGCACATAAGGAGTGTATGACTTCTTATTTTAGAAAAACATTTATTTGTGAACTAAGTTACTTGTGAGTCACACAGAATACAAAGCTTACGATGCAGATGTTGCTGATGTCAAAGATGGTGGTGACCCACTCTCTGAGTTTCATTCACATGGCATCAACATGGTACAGTTGCATATTCTGGTCCCCTGTGGCCTAAAAACCTACTGAGGTTTCATTTAGGAAATCGTCTAACACCTGTGTGAAAACAGACATAGATATTCTATTTGGCATCCCTGCGTTTATACTACTTCCTCAGCAATGACCTCAATAATGAACTGAGAGCGTTACAAAAACACCCATGGTTCTAATTTTTCTTTTTTATATCACATCTATAAGTAGGAGAGAATATTTAAATGTATAACAGAGTTACTTTCAGTTAATACACCTCACAACACCTTTGCCACTGGTTCTGTCTGTTAACTGTGACCAACAAGTGAATCTTGTCCTTGTTTAATATGAATTCATTTTAGAAACATGAACATAAAAATTGGCCACCAGTTAATAAGAAAAAACAACAGTAGAGCAAACATAAGTTTGTATTTGTTTTTGTCTTTCTCAGCTTTTCCCTCTCACAGCTACTTCCTGTTAAACACTGCCCAGTCTGGTCCTGCAAAGCACATGCTAATTCACGTGCATCACATCCTCATTTCAAGTTCAGGTTCACTTTTGTCAGGACTGGTTTTTGTTTGATAGGTCTGGTCTAGTGTTGTCATTCATGATGATTATTCCCACAACTGCAGAGCACCCATTTGTTCACTGATTGTATTTTACTAAATAACTGGTGAAACAAGTCCTGAAAGTGAGTTCTAAAAAGTAGCTTTTTTGATTAATATTTAAAAAAAATAATTGTCACTTTCAGATTTTTACTCAGAGAACTATCATATAGTTAACAGTTACAGTTGTCTTGTGACCCAGACACTTTGTCAGTCTTTTAGACTGCTGGTTCACCACTTTGGTCCAGATATACAACTGCTGAATGGATTGCCGTCAAATTTTGTACAGACATTGATGGTGCTCAGGCAACATTTCCTCTAGCACCACCAAGAGATTAGCATTGGTGATTTTGAGTGAAATGTCTCAGCCACAGTTGGATGGATTCAGTTTGTTACAGTCATTCATGTCTTGGTCGGAATGACTTGCAGTAATTATAGCGATCCCACTACCTTTATACTTTTATATTAGCATCATCATCCCCACTATCATGTTCCTCATATACAGTGGGTACGGAAAGTATTCAGACCCCCTTAAATTTTTCACTCTTTGTTATATTGCAGCCATATGCTAAAATCATTTAAGTTCAATTTTTTTCCTCATTAATGTACACACAGCACCCCATATTGACAGAAAAACACCGAATTTTTGACATTTTTGCAGATTAAAAAAGAAAAACTGAAATATATCATGGTCATAAGTATTCAGACCCTTTGCTGTGACACTCATATATTTAACTTAGGTGCTGTCCATTTCTTCTGATCATCCCTAAGATGGTTTTACACCTTCATTTGAGTCCAGCTGTGTTTGATTATACTGATTGGACGTGATTAGGAAAGCCACACACCTGTCTATATAAGACCCTACAGCTCACAGCACCCTTTTGAGCTAATACAGCCATGAGTCTTTTTGGGAATGATGCAACAAGTTTTTCACACCTGCATTTGGGGATCCTCTGCCATTCCTCCTTGCAGATCCTCTCCAGTT